CTCGGACAGCCTGGTAAGGTAAGGTGCTGTTTTCTGCTTTTTAAAAACTGTTCTTGTTGTTTTTGCAGTGTGGTTTTGAGATTGGGGGGGGTTATGTTTCTGTGCTGTGATGGGTCTTGGGGGGGTTGGTTGCTTTTTGGGGGGTTCCCTGTTTCCAATGGATCTTGGAGGGTTTGTTTGTTTGTTGGCTTTCCCCCCATTTCGGATAGGTCTTGGGGGCTTTGGTTGTTATTTGAGGAGGTTTCCCCATTTCCAATGGGTCCAGCATTCTTCCCTTGCTTTTTTCCTTTGTTTTCTTTGCATTTCCGATCTGCCCCCTTTGTTCTCTGTGCATTTCCAATCTGCTCTATTTGTTTTCTGTACATTTCCAATGGGTCTTGATTGCTTTTCTTCCCCCCACTTCGGCCAGAAGGGATTAATTGCATTTCCAGTGAGTCTTGCAGTGATTTTTTTGGTGATTATTTTCTTTGGCTGGAATGGATTAATTGCATTTCAATGCATTCTTATGGGAAATGGTGCTTCAACTTACAACCGTTTCGAGTTACATCCATCTTCTGGAACGGATTATGATCACAAGTTGAGGCACGACTGTATAGTCCTACTGTAGCAAAAGACTAGTCCTCTGTTGAAGATTTATTTGTTTTTTTTTTAAGAAAACAAAATAGATTCATTAGCATACAGTTGTAGTTTCAAAGCAAAAGCATTGCACATATCCATCTGTTACAATGTTTAAATAAACTTACAATCTTACACAGAACCTAACTACAATTGCCAGTTTCCTTCCATTTCTTTACAAGGGCTATCTGGGGTCATTTGTTCTGGCTTAGACCAGCTTGTGTAAGTTACACAGGCTACCTTTCCTCCTGGAAGACTGCAGAGCTCAATGATTTAAGTATCAGGTTGGGAGTTCACTTCCCCACTGTGCCTCTTTGACGCGCTAGAATTGATGATCCATAGGAACCCTCCCGGCTCTGCAGTTCTAAGATGATGATGATTAATATTAATGAACTAATGGAAAACTCAGGAGTTGGGAATTCGATTCTCCACGGTGCCTCCAGGATCTGGATTAATGATCCACAGGGTCCCTTCCAGCTCTGTAGTTCTAAGATGATGATGATGATCACCATGATCTGGACAGGACTGGGTAAGGTAGGTGAAGGCTGGGACCAGCAGGACCTGATTGATTCAGCTTGCTGGTGGTCACGGAGGGCCAGCCCAGTCGCAAAGTCCTGTGGCCCCCACAAG